GATAGAAAAAACATCCAGAGAGAAGAAAAAACGAGATTTATACAGAGAATATGAGCACAATCTATAACTGTTCTGGTTTTAGACACCTTAGATAGATGAAAACAAGGTTGTTTTTGTTTTACAAATCATGAAATGGTACATATGAGATCAAATTAGACAAATGTCTAATGTGAGCTTTAGTGCAGTCATTCCCGAAGACTGACTAACAGTCATTAACATTTATATCTGCAGTACACCTTTGAGCCACACAAGGGAACGTGAAAGTTTGTATTGTTAGGATGATTGTATTCTATTCACAACATTGAATCTAATATGAAAGGCTAACATAAGTTATATCTGTTTTACTGATGAGAGGAAATAAACAGGAGCCTGGTAACTCCTCATTCAAAGTATTTAACATGCGTATATGTTTTAAATCAAACACACATAAAACAGATTTGTGATTTATCAAACGTGTGAATGTCTTCGACATGGCTGGTTTACTTTGCATGCAGGTGGAAGCTGCATCCTTCTGGGAATCCCTTCTAAAAAGCTCAACATGGTTTTTTTTTTTTTTTCCAAGGATGTACAAGGTTCCCCTGTAGAGGTGGCTGATAGTTTAATTAGATGCATAAATATTCCCCAGGCTAGTCTGTCGTAGCGGTGAAAGTGGAGACACGCTGATCACACACACAGAAAGTCAGGGAAAGAAAGAAAAGAGACAGCGATGCGGCTGACATGAGAGTTGACGTTCACAGCAAAATAGCACGAGTTTGCCTGTTGCAAGTTCAACTTTCAGCTTTATCTCGAGTCCCGCAGAGTAAAGACGAAAAGAGAGCGTAGAGAGAGAGAGAGAAAGACGGCGCAAGAGAACGACTGATGAAGAGAAATGAAGGGAGAGGCAGCCAGAACTCCTTGGTAACCAAAGCACAGAGGAACAGAGGGGCCGGTCCTACACCCCTCCCGCTGTGTGTGTGTGTGTGTGTGTCTCCGAGGACTGGACTGCCTGAGGGGGAGAGCGGCGGTGGTGGTGGTGGTGGTGATGATGATGGGGGGGAGTGGTGGACCCAGTGTGTGTTTAGAGACAGCGATAGGGGTAGAGGCTCATTGTCAGCATAGTAGACGCTCACACACACACACACTCTCTGCTAAGCAGCCGTGTAGTGAGAATGTGAGCAGACACCAGTGCTCCTCCGTCCCGTCTTTCTCTCGCTCTTATTCACCGGATTTGGATTTTTTTCTTTAAAGAGAGAGAGAGAGGCGCACACTCAACCGGAATAATGGTGTTTATCGGGACCTCGTTAAAATCTGTGATTAAGTACTTCAAAAGGAAGGGTAAGATTGGTTTACTTCTGCTCTGTATTGATCATTAATGTGTCATATGAGTCGTTTTGGACTTCACATGAAAACTACAACAAATGAGCAGCAGTTGATTAGAATTTATACTGTTTATACATCATTATTTTTTAGCGTGAGGGTCAGAACTACATTACTTTTACTACATTTGTTTCGACTAATTTAATAAAGCCATTTTAAATGGCTTTATTAAAGCTGTTCTGTGTCAAAGGTTTACACATGGCAGCTTTAATTAGTTTTATATAATTTTAATAGAAACTAACGGTTTCCTGTCACCAGGTAACCAGTGGGCCAAGACTTCACACTATTAGCACTAAATGACCCAACAGCGTTTGTAAAGGTGGCAGCTGGAAGCATTTCAAATCACAGCTTCTGGATTGGAAATAGTTGGCTTGGAACAATTTAGTTGTATTTTTTTAATGTTTATTTAGTTCTAAATGTTTCAGATAATCTGATCCAGATATCAAAGGAAACAATGCCGAGTCTGTGTGCCATGCATGTACAGTAGATTCTGGCTAGTTAAATCTCGAAGGCTCCATCATTATTTTATTAATGGCTGTGTATTAAAGCATATGAGGATGTTAAACAAAGACCTGGTTGATGCAGGGTAAGCTGCTTGTGCCGACTCTAATCTCAGGTGTATTTATAGCGTGTGTTACCGTCAAGGCTGAGGTGATGTTAATCATTAGGTCAGCGGTTTTTTTGTAGTTCTTGCACGTGCCTGCACGTTGCTCCTCAGGTCCTTTACTGCAGTCCAGAGGATAGTGAGCTCCAAAACGGAGCAGTGCTCATATCCTCAGCTTTTTCCACAACATTAGGAGTACACACAACTTTTTAGACATTGAAAGAGGTTGAATTGGAATTGCAATTTAATCTGGGTTTTATGCTAATTTATTTTGAAAAGAGGTATACTCCCTAAAACAATTATTAAATAAGAAGATTGCACACGTTTCACACTCTTTTAACAACTTAACTATGTATATCAAAAATGTATCTGAACCAAGCTGACCCTTACAAAACACAGAAGGGTTGCATTATGCATGACAGTCAATACTCTATTGGCTGGTGCCCTGTTCAGGATTAACGTTGATTATTGATCATAGCAGCTAATAACATTGGTGTGTGTGTCTGCATACAGATGCATTTACAGGGATTACTGTGTGCAGCCTCTGCATGTTTAGCTCTGGTGCACCTTGCAGCCTGTTTGTGTCTTTCAGTCTTCAGTACCCAGTTTGCTCTCAGTCTGCGTCCTTAATGGACGTAAGGAGAGCTGGGCTGTCAATGCACAGAGGGATTAGTAGTCTTCTGAAAGACTTTCGCGCCTCAGTCGTGTGTGTGTGTGTGTGTGTGTGTGTGTGTGTGTGTGTTTTAAGGGGCTAGGGCATATTGTGGCTCTGAAAGGCCTGATGTGGAGACTGATGCAGGGGGACAATACAGGCTTTGTGTCCATAGTCCCCATGTCCTTGGTCTGCCTTTAGCCTTACTGAGACCTATTCAAACCCTATAGTCAGAGAGGAGGGTGGAGGAGGGCTACCTGTGCTGAGTGTGTGTGTGGGAGAGCAAGAATATTAGGAGAGGATTATGTAAGATCCTGATTTAGCCGGTTTAACGACGTATTCTTATTCCGCCCACAGCTGGGGCTTTACTGCCTTGCTCATAGGTGTGTTGTGCACTGTGAGATACAAAACCGACTACTACTCGCCTGCTTTTATAAACTTCAAATTTAAAATTCTACTTCCTGTGTGCGAGTGTGTTTCATGGAGCTCTCCAGTCCAGACTTGTGGTCGGAGGGTTTTTGCCTCGTGTGTTTGATTGATTGTTCTTGACCAGTGCAGGCACGCTGGATCACGTAGACAGGTCTGCTCCCATCACACACACCCTCATGGTGACATGACTGTGGGTGTTGCTACGTTTTGTTTTTTACCTCTTTTGTCACATTTGGTTCAAACATTTACTAGTGTTCATTCAAATAGTCGGAGTGCCAGATTATGATATATATTATAAGAGGTAAGTAAGTAAGTAAGACTGCAGTCACAGATCATAGTCTACATAGTTTCCTGTTGCTTGTATTTCTGCTGCATGCCTTGTTTTGTGTGTTACAACTCGCACTGTTGGACCGAGGATTGTTGTATTTGCACTGTTATTATACTATATACTATTATTATATTGGGAAGAGAAAGTGGAGATTTGTGAATAAAGAAAAGAAAGGTCTGGTAACAGAGTGAGCAGGAACAACAACCCCTCTCCTGAGCTAAAGTTACCAGCTGCCTGCTCCTCAATGAGCTGTAGAGACAGACGTTAAGGTTCCATTAGTCACCAGCAGCACCGCGACTTGGCACACCGACTGTCCCTTCTAAATCAAATCAGAGATCTATGTTTGACTTTGCTCTACTCATTAGTCACGCACTAATCTGGTCACATAGAAGCAAAGTCGGACACACAAAAGAGCTTTTAAAATCAGAAGTTTTCTGTATATTTAAGCAGTTACGCACTGTCGCACACTTTCTCCAAGGACCAATTTGCAGTCACGGGCCCCTCCGCCCTAAACATCTACCTCTTCTGTCCTCCCCCAACCCACACACACAAACACACACCCTACGTATCCTACTGTGGCTCATTAGCACCTGTGAAAACGCATTCAAACAAAAAGCAGTCCACACACTCTCAGCCCCTTTTCACGACCCGCCCTCCTTCCTCCCGGTTCCCTCGAACGTCTCCCTCAGTCCCAGTTGGACGGACATGTTGTGATGGTCAGGACAGGGACAGACAGTCTAAATGGAGATAGTCCTACATCCACAATCAGCTACTTTTGCTTGGATACGCTCACTTGGTAAGCCGAACTTTTTGAGAACCGTGTGTGTTTGTTGATATTTACACCTCAGTTGTTTTGCTGACGTTTGTATTTAGTGGCTTACAAATGCAGAATGGAAGCTTCAATTCCATGACCATCAGCATTACAAGCCACCACCAGTAGCAAGGGGGAAAATACCATAATCATCTGTTGTGATTTGTTTGATGATGTCTGACTGAAAGAAGTGCTGTAGAAAATGACAAAAAACAGAGAAATATGGTTTGTTCTTGTGAAGGAATAGATAGTTGGATATATTATCTTGAGATCTAGATAGATGTTAGTGCTGCTAGGTGCTGGTGCGTTATATTATTGTTTCTCTGAAGCAGTTTCTAAGTACAAGTAAGCTTGCTTAAAAGTTGGCTTTTTGTATGTTTTTAGTAGCCTGTTTGAATATCCGAGCTGGCTATCATCTGGTTCGTGTTTCACCAGATACTCTTCCTCCCTCCTCCCCCTCTGACTTGTGTGGCCAACTGTGTGATGTCTCAGCTATGTGTCATGTTGTTGGTGTGGAGACTGACGCCTAGATGCAACGCACCTAAATCTCCTTCCTCTTCCTTTTCTCCTCCAAATATAAACAAACCCCTCCAGTAGCCAGTTCTGCTTGTACGGGACATTTTCTAGTCCATCATTTGTTGTTTTTCCAAAGGTTTGAGAACTACAGAACTCCCCTTTTATAAAAAAATTTATATGTTTGAACTATTCGTGAGAAATGATGTATTAACAGATCCTCCAGGAGATCCACTAGGGTCAGTCGAATTATAAATATGAATGAAGATCAACTAAAATCTATAACCTGATCTGTGTGTTTCTGCAGCGGTGTCTAACCTGGATGAGGAGAGCAAGTGGACGGTCCATTACACAGCTCCGTGGCACCAGCAGGAGAACGTCTTCCTGCCAGGCAACAGGCCGCCCTGCGTCGAAGACCTCCACCGTCAGGCCAAAGTCAACCTTAAGACCGCCCTGCGAGGTAAGAATCGGTCACATTGGGCCGCATCAGAGAGCTTGACAGGATCCAGCATAGTAACAGATGGAGTCAGGGTTAGAGGAGTCATTTGCCACTTGCCACATCAATGAGTAAATCAACTGGTTGTCTACAACATTGTAAATATGTCCAACCCTGTCATTTCTGTTCCTTACCAAAGTTTAGCCAACAACACAACAGTGTGAGATCCTCTTCTCCCTGTTTGTGCAGCACAGCTAAGAGAGACACGGGGAGTCGAGTCACAGCAGAGTGACGACATTTGAATTATTCAGCCCCCCCATCCTGTCACCGTCTTATCATCCTGTCGTCGCCACCCAGCCCCAGGGGTCCTAACTAAAAGACAACAGGTGTTCAATGGGAGCACCTGTGCTGTCCATCGAGTCTTTGTGTGTGTTTTATCTCTTTTATTAACTGTCCACTCCCAGGACGTTGAGACTGAAGGGTTCACACCTAACTACAGCCCAGCCTTAAGGAAGTATGTTTAGTGTTTTTGCTTAATAATGGTTGTTTTCATGCACATGTTACCAGTCACTAAATCCAGTGCTGTCAGCACGAGCTACACGAGTCTCCTCTCTGTAACAGAGCCAAATAATCAATAACCAATCGGATGGTAATGAGCATCCACACACGTGGGGTTTCAGCTTGTGTTTTGTGGTGAGGCTTTTGCAGACAGCTGTTGAGTTACAGAAAAGCGCGTCAACAGGTCGAAATACATCAGGAAAGTTACGTAACAGTCGTATGAATATTGTCAATAATATCCCAAGAATTATGCATTTTTGGTGGTCCATCTCGGGTGCCATCTCGGCACGCCAAACTTTCAGCTAAAAGCTCTAAACCACCACTGCACACTACCTGCTCAACAGCAAACGGCAGACAGACATAGTTTACTATCAATCACTAAATGCAAATTTGATTGACTTGGCATTGTAAAATATATATGGATACACCCAGTTCATAGCATTATAGTGTTTTTGTTTTCTGCTCGTCTTCTCGCCCCCTCCCTCTCAGTTCTGCCTAGCAACAAGCGGCTCATCAAGGCCTTTTATTTTATCAACCTTCCTCAATCATCGTAACAACTCCGCTCCCCGTCATCATCATGCTTTCTAAATCCCTTCTTCCACACCGCCACCACATCAGCCTGTTGTTACAGTTGCTACCTTTGCCAACCCAATTAGGATCCATTAGCTGTATTATACATGCACCAGCGTGTCTCTCCTCTGAGATGGGCGGTAATTAGCTATGGAGATAGATGGCACATAAAAGGGATCAAAAGCAGCATCTCTGAGGTGCCAGGCTAGGAGTGATGTGCATGTGCTTTTGTACACATGCGTGTCAGTCACCAAAAGGGATTTTCATAGTGCATCACACGCTGAATAAATCCCAAAGATGCAAGAAAAAAAGGCCGCGGAAGGTTTTTACATGTGGACAAAGTGTGTAATGTTTGCCCTCAACAGTTTCTTTATCCTTCAGGTTACAGGCATCAGCAAACGCACACAAAACCCTCGAAGCTGTAGCAGTAGTATGTCATCAGCTATTCAAAGACTAGACAAAGGATGCACTAGTGGATATCTGCAGAGAGAGATATGATGTGCTAAATGCCCCCTTAGAGAAAGAGAGAGGGACAGCTCTGCCATCTGTGTGTGACAGACTGAAACTGATACCCCCTCCTGGTTACACACGCACATTCATGTATGAACTCCCTTCTTGTCGCACATCGGAATACACACGCATACATCACAACCCTGTCACAGCAGGTGGTGACGAGAGGTGTGAGCAGCGCTTGGCAGCGTCCAGCAGTCCTGTGACTGACACACACACACACACACACAGACACGTAGAGTTGACATGTGTTGTACAGCTACGTCTGTGTGTGTCCTATAGATATTTCACACATCCTTCCTACTATAGTGTTGTTGGATGAGTTATTTTGAATAATTCTGTACAATATACACAATACATTCCTTCCTGACATCAAAAGAAATCCTGTTGGAGACAAAGATCCTAATCGTTTCCCGTCTATAATATGTTTCTCTGTTTCTGTCTGTCCTGCAGAATGCGACAAGTTGAGGAAAGATGGTTTTCGGAGCTCTCAGTACTACTCTCAGGGCCCCACCTTCTCTGACCCCTTACAGTCCACCAACAGCCTGCAGGATGAGGAGGAGGAGGATGATAAGAAGGTACACATACACACAAACACTGCTCTCGCGTACCCTCACAGCTGTCCAAGGGTAACAGTTGGTACATACGATACATACAAGTGCTGAGCGTGAGCGTGTAACCAGCAGTGCTTTGCAGCTGATTCGGCAGCATGGCGACTCACCTCCTGTCATTTCAACAGTGTCAGTCTGCCCTCTAGTGGTTAAATATGAGAATGCAGCTTAATCTAGTTACTTCTCTGTCTTTCTGGATTCATTTTCTAATTAATTTTTTTACATTAAGAATTATCAGCTTTAAATCTGGAACACTTACACCTGCAAAGGTCATTAAATTATTCTGTTCACAGGAATATAAAAGTAACAACAAAACCATAGACAACAACAGTTATCTATCGCTCTTTTAACTGGCAGACCATTAGTGTGAATGGTTTGACAGCCACATAAGCCTCCTCTCCTCTCCGCATTTATATTTCTCACACATAATGTGATATGAGCGGTCCCGAGAGGGTCAGAGGGTCTTTCACTCTTATTATCAGGATCTACTTTGGGGTCCCCAGAGCCCCTTGATGTCGACCGCCTGTTTCATTCCTTCCCTGACCCTCGACCCACATGACACGCTGTCGACTCCCATCTCTCTCTATCTGTCTCTCTACTCTCTACTGTTTGTCTCTCGTCCCCATCACTTCCTGTTGTCCTGAGGCCAGTGAGCCTAACTTTGCCTGACAGCAGCTTCAAAAGGAGAAACAGGGGCTGCAGGTTGAGCCACAATGCAACATAACAAGCCATGCCTTCTACCAAAACTATTGCTGAGGTCCTTTACATCCCACACTTTACTGACCCCCTTCTTATCCAGCCATGCATGGTTTGTATGAAAGCTCTAATCGCTGTCTCTCCTAGCCAGCAATGCGCTGGGGAGTGTCAGGATAAAAAAAGAATGGACATACGGGATGATTGCTGGATGTATTTTGGAGATTCTGAACAAAATCCCACAGAGGATTTTTTTTCCACGGTGGCTAAACTCAACCTGATGCAGATTCAGCCAGGGGTTGATGCCCCTGGATTTGATCTATGATGAGAACAATTTGGGATTATTTGTGTTCACTATGATGATTCGATACAATGATTTCGAAATCTTTCAAATTGACGTTGACAGCATGCTGGAAATGGCTGGTTTTCTGTTGACTAACAGCTCAATTTCAAGCCTGGATGCTGCAGTAAAACCTTGTCGTCTGGTGCTTCTCGGCGGTAATTTCTACTTCAGGGTTGAGAACTGTAAAAGTGTAATGCATGAGTGATTCTCCCTCTTTCTCCCCGCTGTTGCTCACTTGCTTTTATCCTGCCATTTTTTTCTGATTGATGTTTGCGTGGGTGCGAGATTGTGTTTGTGTGAGTGTTTCCATTTGGGTTTGATTGATCGCGAAATGTGTTTACAGCGCCACAAGCCTCTAAAGGTCACAGTGATGTAATATGTTGAAGTCTGTTTGTGTGTGTCAATAAAGTTTTTACAGTCTGTCAGTTACAGTTTGGGACAATTAAGTTCTACAGTATTCTCTTCTATATTCTATTCCCACTTTCATTCTCTACTATTATCGAGACATTTCTCTTTATCACGTCTGTGATCTAATTCAAAGTGACAAAATCTTAGTTTCCATTGCCTTTCATTCCCCCACATCATGTTTCATCCCTCTCACCTCTGTCACTCCCTTTTCCTGTCTTGTCTCTCCCCCTTTGCATTTGACTCTCTTCCTCCCCGCTTTATCTTTTTCATTCCTTGTTTCTGTAATCTCTCTTCTCTTCTACCTTTTGTTTCTGCTGTCTTTCCATTCCCCTCTCTCTCTCTCTCTCTCTCTCTCTCTCTCTCTCGGCTCGACTTCATTTTTGACATTGTTTTAACCATTTCTTCCTCTTTCTCCTCTAGTCCACAGCTTCATCAGCAGAGGACAACAGATCCCAGCTCTCCATGAGGCCCCACACCCCGCAGGGAGGGGGTGAAGGAGGGGAGGGGTATGAGGTTGACGGACAGGTTGTCTGGAACAAGAAAGGCACATCCCTCCCCACCCCAGAGGAGAAGATGAGGCTGGCGGCCCGGGCCGTGCCCACTGACATAGTTCCCATCAACGTCACAGGTATGACCTCAATCATCCAATCATTGTGTCCGTTTCTCACTCACTACCGAGTAGCAGCCAATCCCCATCAGTGTCGGTAGTGGAAAATACATCTCCTGGTCCTCTAGTTCCATATTGAAAAGATCCAACTACATCCCCGGTGTCTATTCTGTAACATCAACCTCTCACCACCAATCACACATTTTGTTTTGTTTCTCCTATTCTGTCACATTTGCTTGACTGCTGTTTTACTGAGAGTTAGATGAGAAGATACATTTATAGTCATGCTCAGCCTAGCTTAGTACAAACCCTGGAAACAGGAGGAGACAACCAGCTTCCACCAAAGTACAGCTCAAATCTTGACCTGGTGGTGGCGCTAGATGACTAATAAAAAATGCCTTTCAATGATCTTAAAACTGCCACATTAACATGTCAAATCTTGTGATTTTATTGGTATTCTCATATAATTCTCAGTAAGGCAGCAAAAATGGAAATGTCAGACTTTTATAAACCCTCTGTGGCTGAGTGGGTATAAACGAATCAATTACTGAATTCAGTCACCCACTGAGGAAAACAACTGCATGTGTCAGTCATGGATGTCTGTCCTCTCCTCTGTATATTTTCCTCTCTCATCATGCTTCTTGCAGACTGACCTTCATGCATGTGTGAGCAGGTGCTTGTGTGTGTGTGTGGAAATCGTTTGACAGCTTATCCGAGGGGTCAAGGCTTTTCACTGACTTTATGTCGGATCACAGGGCGTTTGGCAGATGAACACAGCAAAAAGTGTCGATGCAATTCCCCTGTTGGCACGTCACATTTTTCAGTGCTATCTGCCACACACATAAAAACAGATATAACGTCTCTTTCTGCCAGTTCTGATGATTAATATATTACACTGTAGCGTGTGTGACGTCTCACTCATAAGACGTAAACTCACGACGATGACCAACAGCTCAAAGATGAAATGGCAGTTCAGTATCAACATCTGGATTTTGCTGTTGTCAAGGTCAATATAACAGTGATCCCGCCGTCCTTGAGACATTAACGAGGGCTTAATGTGGTCCCACTCCAAGCAAATCATTGTTGACTTCGTCTCCTGTCGCTTTACATTACTGAGAAAGAGAGAGGAAACGCACACACGCAGACACAAGAGGGAGATCTGGGACTTCTCTGTCACTCTGAGGGGGAATGTGATAGACACCATCCGCCCTCGTATCAATTTATATTTCCCTAACACTTGCAGGCTGTCACCAGCTGGCCAAGTAGCAGAAGGAAGAGCAGTTCCTAGCAAGATAATACTCCTTTAGGGAAGCTGGACAGAGAGTGAGAAGGATGTTGAGAGGAATGAATGACTGTGTGTGTATGTGTGTGCATGCTTTCACCTCATATCTGTCCTGTGCATGTGTGTAAAGATAAGAGCATGCACTCTACCTACTATCTCACAGATCTTACATGTATGTTTACACCTCAGTGACTTATAATAAGGGTTGGACCATCAGCCAAAAGTATTTGTTTTTTTCTGTTTTAATGATTATGCTCGGAGAGTAATGACAGGTCAAATGTTTTGGCTCTTTGGCTGATGGATCATAAAGTTAAAGGGTCAGGTCCCTTTTCTCTAGTGGTATAATGCAAGACAGATACTTTTGGTTGTATTTGCCCAAGTTAAGATATTTAACTTGGTTACACTGACCCTTTACTATTTCTACCCTGTTGATGTCGCATGTTCAACTTGAAAAAAAACTGCACGTTGTTGAGTTTGTTCCTTCCAACTAACCGACTGCTGTTTGCCTGTGTGTGTGTCCGCCTGCCTTGCTCTCGCCCTCCCGGCTACCAGGGGCAGTGTTTGACCGACAGGCGAGTGTCCGGCGCTCCCTCATTAACACTGACACCGTGTCCCGCCGGCCCAAGAAGGTCAAACGCAGAAAGACTATATCAGGGCTGCCTGACAACTTCAACCATGACCTAGGTATGGATCACTGTGGGGCAATATGTTGCCCTCTACTGTCCACAGACCTGTACCAACACTCTGGACAAGCATCCCTCCTTTCATTACTTCCAATAACCATATACTCTCCATAGATTTATGTTTTTATCCAATAACCGTAGACATTGAGTGGAGATTGAACTCCCCCCACCAGTATTGGTCTTAGTAAGTCACATTGAGAGGGAGAAAATGACACATGCAAGTCCACAGTGTTGGATCAAGGCCCTGCAGATGTTGTGTCTTTCCCTGTTTCAGTTCTTCATACCAAGTGTCCTCATTTCTCCTCCACCCTGTTTAACTGTATCCACAGCCAGGAACCAGTTATGAAATCCTTTTTCACTAGTTTAGTGGTTTTCATTTTGCACTTTTTCCTTTGCTAGAAATGTTTGCACTCATATAATCTCATTTTAGACTTTGCCTCTTGGAAAATCATGTCGCATAAGAGAAGTGAAGTGCAGGGTTTGCCGTCCTAAATGACGTATTGTGCCATAATCTTTCGTCTTAAATGTTTCTTTTGCTGTGAATTGTGTGTGTTAATTATGTGTATGAGCGTTAATCCTGGGGCCTTATTGATAATCTTTAACATGTGTCGCATGTGTGTCTTACTTACCAACATGTACCGATTATGAGACAATGGGCCCCTGATCATAAACACCTAAAAAGGCCCCACCACCCTTGTCATTTTCAGAACATATGATCCTCAAACCCTCCAAACAGATGAGGGATACATGACAAATATTAAGTTTCAGAGGTCCCGTACTGAGCTGAGCTGGGTGTTAAGCAAACACTAAGCTTTTTAAGCTGACACTGCTGTGCTGACAGCACCGCATGGCTGATGTTTATTTACACGTCTCTGAGCTGTGGGACGGCAGCAGTGTTTAAGGAGAATGTCATTTCTCTGTGTGATAAGATCACCGCTGCCGATAGGAAAGGAGCTTTAAAGACTGGTTAGTGACCAGCTGACGACGGCCTCTGAATGTCATGATTACTGGGCCGGGGTAATTGTCCCAGTGCCTCATCCCTCCCTCTCCTAGCACAAGAGCTGCCTGCGAAGTAGACCTGCAGCTTAATCTATCGCAGCAGCAACAACAGCAGCCAAGCTGTCACTCTGGCTTTTAGCAAAGGAGGAAGAGAGTGGATGTGTGGGTTAGAGAGAGAGAGACGGCGAGAAGGGAGAGAGAGAAGAAAGGGAAGTGAGTGTATGTTCTGGGATACGAGCATCAACAGGAGAGGCACCACAGATGGGAGACACACTAAAGATCGTCTCTCGTTTTACAACTCGTTCTTCAAATTGTTTGTTTACAAGCCGGTATGTTCGGTGTGTGTGTGTCTTTGTGATATCTGCATTTCTGCGTGTCCTTGTCTATATCTTTCTGTACGTTCTGTCCTGTATGACAGTGCATGACCATGTATACACTGCATGTTTGTGGCCATGTGTGTGTTTGGTGGCTGCCTTACCTTGTCAGCTGCCTGTCCTGGACCTCAGGGTATTGTTTGCTTTTCTGTCGGACTGAGCCAGAGCCATAATAGGAGGGGAAGCATAGGAGGCAGTCTATCTGTCCTCCTTCATGAAGCAGACCAGAAGTTATTAGCGCATGAGACGGGTACAGCTAATCAAATTAATTAACTTCCATGTCACCACAGTTTATCTTAACAGTCCAGTCCAGAAGAGCAGGAGGCATTGTTGCTGAAGCAGTTATAGGGAGGAAAGAGAAAGGTAGTGGTGCAAGAAAAGGAATTGTGATCAATCACGTGTTCATCTTATTTTCTTTATTCATTTGACAGCAGCAAAAAGACACGGCGGAGAGCTCCGGCCACATTCCATGTTCATCCCGGGACAGTACTCCACCTTGGGTAGAGTTGGGAGCGTCAACTCAATGCTCCGACGTTCAGAGACCAGAGACTCCGGCTGCCAGACAGAGACAATAAAGATTGTACCCCCATCCATGAGACGAATCCGGGCTCAAAGAGGACAGGGAATCGCTGCTCAAATGGCCGCCATTTCTGCTTCCTCCTCAGCAGGAAGTATATCCGTCTCGAGTAGCGACAGCTCTGGGATCTTGATGCTGCCTCAGTTTAATAGAGATCTCTCCCGTTTTCACAGTCTGCCCCGACAGGGAGCCAGGGTGTCCCTCAGTGCTGACCCCATTTATAGCAGCACCCCCATCAGGTCTGAGGAGCAAACTACGCCTCCGAGGCAGATTGGCAAGCTTCAAGTTGATGATACAGCGGTGCACATGAGAAATGCCCCAAGGACAGGCACCCTGCCTCGGCCTAAGTCTCAGGAGGTGAGGGGGACACAGGCCAGTGATTGGGGTGGTGGACCAGCATGTGTAGTCTCCCCACATGCTGCCTATTCCACCTCGTTCATCCCCAATGCTACCCTGTCTAGCTCCTCTGAGGTCATTACCCTCAACACCTCCGGTCAGCTCCCCCACTCCCAAGCCTCCGCTTACCCCACAGCTCGACCGCTCAGTCGAGCCTCCTCCACCAACACTGACCCCAGAATCTCCAATCCAATAGCCTTTACCCACAGCGACACCTGCCCAGCTTTGGCCACTTCTACCCCCACTCATACACCAAAGGACGGTGGTCCGGAAGTCGCAAAACCTGCTAGTGAGTCAGGGCTCTCGGACAGCAGTATACACAGCCGCAGCACCTTGGCACCCACACCTCCATCCTGTCTGCCAGAGGAGCAGTGGATCTATGACACGCCAGAAAACGTGGTGGTTCCACACCGTACTCTGACCTCCAGCTGCTCCATTCCTATAAACCAGTCCTATAGCAGCCTGGAGCACTCCTCCAGGACCACTACTGACTCCAGCTCCCTCTATTCCCAAGACAATGATGGATACTACACCTCCATGCACATGGACTCGGGCCTGCGCTCTCGCAGCCATGGCAGTGGGCATGGTGCAGCACCTGGACGGGCCACCAGGCACAGCATGTACGAGTGCCGCGAGGTGGCCAATCAGGAAGACTCTATGAGCTTGTACAGTGATCGCTCGCTGTCCCGCAGCATCTCCCTCCGCAAGGCCAAGAAGCCTCCTCTGCCACCAGCTCGTACAGACTCTCTTAGACGCAAGACTTCCGATAAAAAGCCTCTTGGAGGCGTTAGCGCCATCGGCGGTGCTAAGGAGGCAAACGGAGCCATGCTCAATGAGACTCTTATTGCCAGCTTGCAGCAGAGCCTACAGATGGGGCTGAAAGGAGGGAAAGGAAAAGGGGCTTCACCTTCTTCCCCCTCTCACAGCCCGAGCAGTGACTACGATGACCCTTGGGTGCTACGGCCACGCAGTCAGAGTAGCATCAGTGCAGGCAGCTCTGCAGCATCACTCGCAGCTAACGCCAACTGTGGCGGTGTGTCTAACGTGTACTCGTTATGCCATGTGACGCCGGCTCAAAGTGAAACCAGCAGCTTGCGCTCAGAATACGCTGATTCCTGGGGTTACTACATGGACTACCCTCGTAACCATGATCAGAGGGTGCAGACCCCTCCGGCCCATGCCACAGAGAGCATGTTGTCTGGGACTCACCCAGGAGAATTACAGAACGGAGGTGAGATTCTCAACAACAGCCAGGCTACTGGTGCTCCAGGCCAGGACGGAGGGGTGGCAGTGAAGCCCAAAATGGCAACCTCCTCACCAGACAGGGTGCACCGGCTGACCTCCCCATCCAGCGGCTACTCCAGCCAGTCCAACACCCCCACAGCTGGAACCCCAGTGCCCTCGTTTGTCAGGTCCATGTCTCCCTCGGGCGGCCGGCCAAAGCCCAAAGTGCCCGAGAGAAAGTCATCTCTCCTCTCTTCTGTATCCATGTCCTCCTCTTCCACCTCCCTTTCCTCCAACACTTCGGACTCACTTAAAAGCTCCGGACCTCCTCCTTCACTACCTCCACCCTTGCCCCTCTCCTCCTCCTCAGCTCCCACCACCCCTCTCAGCCCACCTCCACCCTTCCCTCCCCCTCTACCGCCATGTTCCAGTACCGGCACTCCACCGCCAGCTCCCCTGTTACCAGCCACCCCTCAGAGTGAAACTCTGAGCCCACCCGCTGCTTGCTCCACCTCCCCAGAATTCCCTCCTCCTCCATCCCCTGAAATGCTAATCCACCCCAGTTCATCCTTCAATGGGAGCTTCAGCCCTCCCCCTCCACCTCCCATCCCCTCCATGGGACCCCCTCCACCTCCTCCACTGCCAGCTTTTGTCCCACCTTCCCCGTCCTTTGTGAAGGCAGTGAAAGATGCTCCAAAACCAGCTCTTTCCAAAAGCCCTACAAAGTCACCTAAGCCCCTGATCACGCCATTTGCGCTGCAGATGGTGCAGCTCCGCTCTGTTAAACGACCAGAGAAGGAGATTAACGGCAAATCAGACCACACCGAAGCTCAGGTTCTAAAGCCCCAGACCCTGGAGAAGTCTCACCCCCTGGAGCAACCTACTGTGATACCCGGGTCAAACTGCTCCCCAGAAGAAGATTCACGCAACTCCTCACCATCACCTGTGTCAAAGCTCTTAGAAGAGTTGTCTTTAGACTGCAGTATCACACATGACACACCAGATAGTGTTGTCATGAATGGAAAAGCGGAGGATCAAAGTTACTTTATCTTAAACAGAAAAGAAAAGGATGAAGGACGGGAATCACTGCCCAGTCCCCAACAGAGCCCCCGTAGCTCTCCTGTCAAACAGAAGCCCCCAGTGGTCTCCAAGAAACCCCAAATCTCTTTCCTCCCACAATTTAGCCCCCGACCAATCGATGAACAGGTTCCATCTGAGGATACAACCATCCTGTCACAAATAGAAGACCAAGTCGATGCACCGCAAAGACAAACACAGAAAGAAAAGAAAGACAGTAAAAGTGAGCAACAGGAGGAAGAGGAAAGTTCAGAGAGCTCGGAGCTTCCATCAGAAAGCTGTGAAACGACAACAGTAACCCAGAACGAGTCCTACATTTGTGCTTCTGCCAGCCAGCCAAGTCTTGACCATGGACTATATACCAATGGAGAGGCTCAAGAAGAGGAAGAGGATGAGGGAGATGGAACAAGTAGCACGTCTGGATCCATCAGCTCCAGGGAGGACGACACTAGTGAGTCAGACTTAAATACTTTTTTTTAAATTACGCTTTGTTATCATCAAATCAAAGTTAGACATATATCAAATATGTGTGGAGAGAACACTCATTTTAAATGGTGTCAGTCAAAATCTTCATTTACTTATTAGTTAAGCTCATTACCATAATCCTATGTGGTTAGTGGTGATGCTGCTGCCTGCCGGCTGTGCGGCCAGCTCCTCAGGCAGCTGTGAAATTCATTTTGCCTTCCAAAGCAACAGTTCCAGACTTGAAACCACAAGCTTTTAAAGATCTGAAAACTGTGAAAATAGCGCAGCAGAGACGGCTTATCACTGGGACAGCACTGCTGCAGCCTCCTGAATTCATCCTCTCTTACTCTCTCTTCTACATTTTCATATGCAGAGATCTCTCGTGGCTATTGCCCTTCATTTTTCCCGCATTGCTTTTTTTCTCTGCTCCCCCCCCCTCCACTGTCTACTCGTCTCCTCTCCGTCATCCATCCTTATTTCCAAAAACCCATTTTTTGCCTTTTCCTCTTCTTTGCTGTTAATCTCAGTCTGTCCTACTCAGCTCCTCTCTCCTTCTGTCCTGCTCCCTATCTATCCTTTCTTCTCTCTCTGGGATAGGGGAGGGGGCAGGTGTCCAGGGGGGCTGCTTTTTTGTGGGTGGGGGGGGGGGGCTCTCTATCGTATCAGAGGGGAGGGGGGAACAGATCTGGTAAGGGGATGGAGGAGAGGATGGGGAGAGCGTAAAGTGAGACTGCCTGCAGCAGCTCAGGCAGTCGAAGCGCAGACGTGAATGCGGAGGTTGACAGGAGGAGGGGGAAGAGGAGGAGGAGGAGGAGGAGGAGGAGGAGGAGGAGAGAGAGAGAGAGAGAGAGGCTGAACAAGAGGACAAGAAAAGACAGGATATCTAGAGACCGAAAGAGAATGTAAGAAGACAGTCCAGCACCTCCTCTGTACCACTTCAGATTTCATAGACAGCCAGGTTATGAGTTTATTCACGAGTGTGTGTTTCACTGAGTAAACCTAAAGTGTGTGTGTTTACTCTCCTGTAACTGTGTGTGTGTGTGTTTCTCTGTCTCAGGTGAGGTGTTCTACTCCAGTACGGCCGAATCGTCTCCGGCCCCGTCAGCCAACGGGTCTTCCGAGGAGAACATGGTGACCCCGAGTCACACGCGGCCCCGAACCACTGAGGACCTTTTTGCCGCCATTCACAGGTACCATGATGCATTTCTCTCTTTTACGCATCTTGTCACTTCTTCATCTACTCCAACTTCTTTACTCCCAACCCGCTTCAACTCCTTATATATAATTTATTCCACTGAGCTAGTTTATTTTATCTCTAGCGTTCGGTTTGCTGTTTGTTCTCCTCTCTACCTCCCCCCTCGTTCTCTGTCAACATCTCCTTCCCTCTTCCCCCCCCCCCCCCTCATAAACCACAATGTATCACCCTGAAGTCCAAGCTCCTTCAAACCATGATTTCTCTCTTTCCATCTCCTTAGCCCTCCTCTTCCTCTCCCTCTGCCCTCCACCTCTCAGTCATAACGTTACCCAGTGCCATCCCATCTGCAAGCATACACATCCGTCAAACAGCTGGTCTCTGGAGTCTCCCAGCCCGGAGTGGCTTTTGTTTCTGTTCCTTGTCAGCGATGAGTCCGATTCAAGAAGCAAAATGAGTCAGTAGTCGCATGTTTATCGAGGCATCTGTGTTAGTAAAGTCACATTAGCGTTGCTCATTCTCAGCAGAAGTAAAAAAGGCGGTTGCTTCATCCATTATTTAACTACTCGACACCCTTGTGTCCTAATCTAGGTTAGAGGCCACCAGAGAGATTTGTCGTTCTCCCTCTCTCTGTTTCTATCTCTCCCATTCTTGTACACACTGATATATATTGCATACGTGCTCCCGTGCTTCAAAGGCAGAACACATAAATTTCTCATGCAGCCCGCCAGTTTGTGTTTCACGGTCACGTGCGGCGGCAGTCGGAGTTCTCTTGAGCATCGCAGGATTTAATTTCACGGGATTTTATTTCTGCTGGCGAAACAGACTGTCGATGTATTTATGGTGCACGCATCACGTGTGCAAGTGCGATTTATTGTGCAGTTTAATTGGACGACGGGATTGTGTAAGCATGTGTGCTTGAACCTCACAGCGGAACTGTTTGTGTACCACTTTCTTTACTGCTCTCCTCCTCCATTGCACCTCCTCAGAAGAGAACATATAGAATCATTTTACAGATTTTTGATAAGTGGGAAGCGATGATGGCATCGAGAGTTGATTTGCCTTTTAGCATCATATCTCATTAAATTAAAGAGAGAAATTTCGATACATTGTTTTGAACTATCAAGAGATTGTGACATTATGTCTGAATGTATAGTTTGTGTTTCTGATGGTGACTTTCTTGCTGTCTCTCCAACTGTTCCTTTCCTCTCCCCTTATCGCCTTTTGTTTTCAACTCTGTCACTTCACCCCCACATTCCTCGTCTTCTCCCCCTTATCTCTCTGGAAAACCCTGAATGAAATGCCCTTACATCTGCAGCATAAAATACCACCTGCCTGCAGGGAAGATGCTCCAAACCAAACGTAAGACAAACAGAGAAATCAATAGAGCACTCTGAGATGGGTCTTAAATCGCAGCCTTGTTTACCTCCATAACCTAGATCGGTAGCACCGCCTCTCCAGTGTGGCCGAGAATTCAACAAACCGTGAGTTCAGTACGCAGCCGTCTTGGTTGACTGAGTTCAGGTGTGTTGAGTGGATGCACGTGTAAATATGTGTGAGAAAAGTCTTATGTAATGCAGACGGGCTACTGATGGCGACGGAGCTCACAGGGGACGACGCTAGATGTAGGTTGAATTTAGGGCACAGACTAAATTGCAGTCTTTCTAAAACAAAAAGCAGATTCTCTTACAGAGCAGTTAGACTCTCATTTGACCGTCACAAGTATATTCTCTACAGGTTATTTGTCCTGTATGGAAGAATTGTTTTCTGTAGATCTAATCTGAGGATTAAGGATTTTGTTTCACTGCGTCCCTTCACTGATCCCTTTTACTTTTTTTGCATCAAATTGCTCTCCTTATCACAGAATCTCAATTTTTCGTGCCTTTAATCATCTCTGTCTCCCCCTCTCCTCCTCCTCTCTCCCTCCTCGTGCAGAGGGGGCATGCAGTGGGTGGGAGCATCCTTTCTAGAGAGGTGTGAAGTGGCAGGTAGCCCCTTCCCTTAAATTAGCAAGCCTTGTTTCTGCCATCGCGGTGATGCTACCTTTGGATTAGCAACAGTAATCCCACAGTGCAAACCCGCTGGACCACAGATTAATAAGGCTGTTTCCCCTGCTAGCACTAATCCCCTGTATTCTGCCAGTTGCAGCTTTATTGCTATGCTTTGGTTGCAGGAGTTATTGACAGTGCAGGCTGAGTGGTGCAGTCGACCACTCTGATACACACCCCCCTGTTGAGAGGAGGCTGAATCGTCCTTGTGTGTTTTAAAACTGCTTTTGGGCACTTTTCCCAGTTTGTGTTTTTGATTAATTTCATTGTGCCGCGTCTGAGCTTTCCCGCAGAGTTGCAGCGTCTGCAGCTTTTCTGGTAAAAAAAAGTCATTGGATTCCTTTAACGTAAATGTAACTCTTCTCATTGCCCTCGCTTAATTTTTTGAGCATCCACGCCACTCAATGCTCCTTATGGTTTTACCTCTTTTAAGATTCGTGCTGTGACGCATGATTGCTGGGGGCAGTGCTGACATATGGCAAATTTGGGACAAAGACTGAGGCGTGTAGGCCAAGTATTTGAAGTGCAAATTTTTTTTCTTCTTTTTTAGCTACTACAGCACTGAAACATTCACAGGGCTGGATTGAGCAAAGGCTGCTTCCTGCTCATTTATATGAAATCCCATATTCTGCAGCCTGATTTCAATTTGAATAATTGGATTTGATGAAACTGCCCCCATCCCGAGCGTTTCAACTTGCTCTTCCATCAATTCAACATCTAATTGTTATTCAGCTTTTTACAAATTCAATAACCCTGCTTGCACTCACTCACTTTGTAGAATGACAAGCAGGCCATTAATCTGGTTATCCACAATTTACCATAGGTCGAAGCGCAAGGTCCTGGGTCGCAAGGAATCTGAGGAGGACAAGTCCCGGGCTGGGAGCAGCCCTCAGTCTCCACCCCTCACTCCGACAGGCGGGTCCCCAGTGATGGTGTCCCCCTTGCCCCGCCCGTCAGGCTCCATCCAGCGCAACCTTCGCAAGTCCTCCACCAGCAGCGACACCTTCAAGGCCCTTCTCCTGAAGAAGGGCAGCCGCTCAGAGACCAGCTTCAGGATGTCGGCCACTGAGATGCTTCGCTCCACTGACCCTCGCTCCCAGAGACCATACTCGGAGTCGGCGTTGGACTCACCTGAGGCCTCGCCTTCCTCCTCGCTGATGGCGCCACACAGCCCCTGTAACTCCCCCGGCCGTGGTAAGAGAGCAACAGATGAGTGGAGCCGCTACGAGGCCTTGGCCCTGTCCTCTCCGACTTCACCATCCTTGTCAATGAGCGGGTTTAGGTACGGGCGCTCACGCACGCCGCCCTCTGCTGCCAGCAGCAAGTACAACGCACGCAACCGGATCCTCAGCAGCCCAATGACAGTGATCTGTGAGCGCGAGGGCGAGCTGGCTGAGAGCGAGTACGGGGACACTGCAGAGAGTCTGTCCACACCCTCTGCTCTGACTCTCCCTCTATTCAATAACTCCAATGGCACTTTATCTGATGGGAGCAGAAGTTAAAACGCAAGGACCGCCCCTTAGATACAAGGAGCTGAACTCACTCGTCATAACCAGGTAAGGGGCAGGAGGAGGAGCCAATAGAAGGCCCTCTAGAGACACCTTCCTGAGCCCCACCCCCTCGGCGTTGCCTCTGAGGCAGTTAAATGTCAGGCGCTGATGTGAGGTCAGAGGTCGCCCCGTCATGGACCAGGCTGAACTTAGTCTGAAGTGGAGAACTGCATCTGCTGCATTAGTTCTATGAATCTCACTCTGTCCTTCGTTTGGTGACTCACCCATTGTGTTCAAAGAATGGTGTTGCTTTTACGCCTGGTGTACTTAGTTTGTTTCCATTTGTTTTTTTTTACTTTTATTTCATTAACATGCAGGAATTCTTTTAGTTTCTTTGAATGACAAGGATAAGATAGTGAACTGAAGGAAGTGAAAAGTCACAAGCTGTAACTTGTGCTGCTACGTAGAGCTAGGCAGTTGGAAAGAGTGGAATGTAGAGGCGTGCTGGACGCTCTCGCCTTGTGAATCTTCTCAGCTTCTGCTTCTCTTCCGTCGTCTCTGGAAGGTGTTTGAGAGCACCACGGTTTGCAAGTGTTGGCTTCAAACAGCCCACAATATTGTGAAGAGAACCCAGAGGAGGCGGTGCAACAAGACAGCTCCACAGTACAACTTCAGCTACGGTTATCGGCAGGGTTTGCTTACTGCTCTTAGGTTCAGAGCTTTCGTTTGCAGAGCTGGTATGTTCAGTGGTCCACAGGAAGTGCAGAGGGCTCAGTGCTGTCACCTAGTGACGGCCAGGAAGTAAACAACTGTAGAGTGTAAAAAGACTCAACCAAAAACAGCAAATGTACTCTATAAAAAAAAAAAAGGCTCATAAAACCTCTGTTAAATGAATTTTAGTTTGTAGATTTTGCATTGTGCATAGATCTTTTTCTTTGTTTGTGACTTAAAAACTATGTTTTAAAGATTGTTTTAATAAACAAAGTGATGTCATGACGTGTTTGGGAGTTAAGTATGAATCTATAAATGTAAAGACGGAGATGAGAGTAGAAGAAAAACTCGTTTTACTGTCTGGGACTTTTAGTGATCATCACGTTGGGCACCAAAGAGCTGAAACAATGACCCGCTGGCCGTTAAACTGGAAGTGAACACAACCTGAGAGTGTGACCGCTTGTCTGGCACCCTGCATACAGCCCAAACCCAAACCTACCACAAGCTTTTTAGGGCTTAAATGATTTCTATAATGCTGTTGACCTTTCTGCTAAGTTGATCCTTTTGCAGTTTTATATGATCCTGTATGTAAATACATAGAGAAAGAAGTTTTAAGTAACATTTTGACTTATTTTCAAAGACTGTACATTTTTAGAGAGCCTGTATTTGCTGGAAGGGGAGTGGTTACCTTTTTTTGTAGATTATTTATTTTCACATAGCGGGGCTGTAAACGGTGTCCCGATCAGAGTCAACCAGCGAGCTGATGGAGGCACAGGGCAGAGTTAGGAGGGCCACATTTACTCCGCTGATGCCACCAGGCCATTTCTTTCATTTAAAGGCGCTTTATAGTGACACACAAATGCAATAATGTTATTATTTATGCGAAAGCCTTCTACTGCCCTTAATCATGCAAAACCCCACGCTGGTGCTCACAGCTGAGTAAATGTGGTCTCCCAAGAGTCATAAACTGAGGTGACGGGCGTGAGACTTAATAACCTCCTAACAGCCATAACACCCTGTGGTTTAATCACCTGTGACCAAAGTGTGTCTCCCAAGCTCACACAACTGAGCACTTTGGGGGCCCGGGCTTGTCTCATGACAGGAAAAAAACGTCTCAGTCGCAGAGGGGGAAAGATGGGAGGACAGAAGAAGTAGTTGGAGTGGAGCTGCTAAGGCTCTTGTGTCTGTCTGTGTAATAAAAAACAAGGTGATATTTAAAGAGCGGGTTTCTGTGTCATTTCTGTGTGTGTGTGTATGTGTGATTCACGGTCATCTGACAGCCCTAGCACCCTAAATCGCAGCCTCATTAGCGCCGTCGCCATGGCACCCATACTCGTCCGTCATCTGGAAAGCTCCAGACATTTACCCCCCCCACACCATCAGTTTTGTCTCCTTCTGGACATCCTATTAGCACACACTGAATCACAGGCTCAGCCCACAATAGACCTTTTTCCGCTGACTGCGGGGCGACTTCCTGCTCGTGGCCCGTGACTGAAACCTCTCCACATTCCCCGCAGGAACTCTCCTTTGCCTTTTCAGCGCCTCGGCATGTCGAGTGTTCGCTCCCCAAGGGCAACAGCAACACTGACCCGCACCTCTCAGTGTTTACAATGAAGTCCCTCCACCCTCTTATATTCATAAGAGTCGCCTTGCTCTCTGACGCTGTGTCCATCTGGCTGTCAGACAGGAATCAATACAAACTCCTCCCCGGCCATAATCACACTATTGACGCCTCAATGCATCCCCTCTCGTTTTATATTCAAGACCCTCGTTGTATGAATTGACGAATGAAACTAAATGACTGTATTGACTTGAACACAGTGGAGAGTCCAGGAACAGAATAGTTACCGCCTGCACTGATCCAACTGTTTCACCTCACTGAGCACGGCCAATGAGATCGATCTGGTGTGTGTGTGTGTGTGTGTGTGAGAGAGAGAGAAATTTCTGCTGAGCTTCTGAACATGATATTGGGAACAATTGTGCCACGAATAAAAAGATTGACTCAGCAGACATGAGCCTGACCACGAGAGAAGGTTAGAGAGGATAAAGGGCGAAGTGAACCGTGGAGAGGGTTTCACCCGGCTGATAAAAAGGTCACGATGATCAGTGTGTGACAGACGACCTGAACTGTACTACAGATCAGAAGCGCAAGCTTCTGGCTGGGATTTAAAGAATCCCATCACAAAATAGAGACGACTAACACAATGAACATGGAGGTAATAAATGATCAGAATCATTTGATTTATTATTAATTAGATCATACATTTTTCATTCTTAAATATTTAGTGGGAAGTAATATCTCCCATGATTCATACATTAGTGCAGTGCTTATGTCATCATTCCCACATTAAGTACCCGTAACACAATTTCTAGTACATGTTCTCTAAATGCGATGATTAATATGAGTTGATGTATAAAAGGATGTAAACTCAGAGTAAAAAAAGCTTGTTAGCTTGATAAGTGGCCTTTGTTATTGTCTATCTCACCAAGCACCACAAATGTTAGTGTGTGTCAAAAGTCATCTTAAAATCACAGACATAACTACACAATCATGAATTCATGAGGGGAATGTTTTTTTGTTTTTTTTAAACTGAGACTTGAGTGATGACGGTATGACAGGTCCAGATTTACAATGACTCAGTCGCTCATCATAATGAGTGCGATAGCGGTGACAGTAAGTGACGTCTGAGATCAGATAAACTGACATTCACCAACATTTTGAGTCAAACTGACTGACAAGAGACAAAACCTGCTGTCTGAGTCTGCAGGAGACCAACAGAGCTAAAAGATGGGTTCACGTTTGTAAATTGAAAGCGTTGTAGGTCGCTGTGTTCATTCCTCTTGTCCAAACTGATCGAAAAAGAGAAAAGTAAGTAAACTGAGCTGCAGTAACACAAAGATGGAGAAAGGTATACGCTTAACTATACTAACTGTTAAAGCCTCAGAATGGTTTTGGCTCAACTTAGAGTGCATTTGTCAATTATTGCTTTGAAACAGACTTGAAAACATGTGAGCCTACACTTTATAATGCACGATAACTTTTTATGTTAAGGTTCAGGTGAAAATAAAGTGTTTACCTTTAAAAATAACTGAGCAAATTTTCAACAAGTCATTCATTAAGAAACAGGCACTTGTGGTTTTTGTCAAGATGCACCAGATGACAGAAACGTTTCCTGACTACATGGCTCCACCTGCTGGTAATATTGTCCCACTGTATCCAGTCTTTCACCACGGTTTATGTGTTTATGATGACCTGTTAGAGCTGTAATCATGTGTTTGGTCTCTTTGGCAAGACTTTCAGTAAAGTATAATTCAGTAACCTTTTATCAAACAAAATAAAGCAAAAGAAGACAGTAAGACATGGATAAATGGATATAAAAATCTTGATGGACAGTATTTTTTCCTTCTTTCTTCTATAATAGAAATGATTTTGATTACCTTTTGACTGTGCTGAGTGTTATCAAACGATCGTGTCATTTTATTCCTTATTAACTGGGACTAATTGACAGTTCTAGTGGGCGACCTTTAAACTTGCTACTCCTGCTCTTGCTCCTTCTTGAGGACCCAGACCTCGTTCCTGCGGTTCATGAGTTTGAAGGGACTGTCGTACCCGGCTGCGTAGAACGGCTTGTCGACGTATTGGACTCCGTCTCTCTGCAGGCTCTCCATTAGTTTCAGGAGCTCCTCACGCTTCAGGTTCTCATTGGAAAAACCACCAAATGTCCTGAAAGAAGGAACAAGGGGATAGAAGACTAAGTTCTGCATATCAGGGATTTGAAGTCTTCATTTTAGCAGCTCTTTTTTTTTTTTGTGGCGTGTGCAACCAGGTGGGAATATTTAGTAAAAAAAAGAAAGAACAAAAGCATAAATAATTGTGCCTTGGCTGTACTCTACCTGACATAAGCTGTGAACTCCTTCCTGTTCTCCAAAAACACCTCCGGGTCGCTCGGCTCCGGCGGATTGTCCTGATGCTCCTCTGGGACGTAGAAGGACACAGTAAACTGAGACTCACATGCCGGGCCGGCTCCAGGGTCCACGCGGCACGTCACAGGAGCCGTCATCTCCACTTTCACCTCTGAGGAAATAAAATCATTCACTTTCAATAATATGAATGATTTCATAAACACAAACAGCACACACGTGACGGGCGTAAAAACGTGAAAAGAAGTGAGATGAATTTAGCAAGAAAGGAGAAAGTGAGGTTGATGAATGGTCTGACACAAAAGATGCACAGATATTACATTTGCTAAACAAACCCTCAGTTGCCAGCTGGTGGATCTGAACTTCAGTAAATAATGAAAGCTGAGCAGATGGTAGACATAGAACTACAATGTGTGGCAGATGTAGAGGATTAAACAGCAGCTTTACACATCGCACTCTCCTTACAATGCAGACCGCAGTAGTCAACAGCACAAACAATATGCTGTACGCTCTCATACATAATGCGGGTGTAAACTGCTGAGTAAGACAAAAGCAGCAGTGCTGTTACAAACTGTTGAGCAAGAACTAAAGTTCACTTTTTTTATTGACTCTTGCATTTATTCATTGACTCCCTTGTCTTCATGCCAAAGTTATCCAGAACTTCATTTTGCAACATTTCGACATTATTAACCTGACCGCTTGCTGATTAATCACATTTAATTTCATTTATTTATTCATAGTTTACGGCTTGTATCAAGTTTATTTACTACACCATGAATACAAGACATTTCAGCACCTCGTTGACAAAAGAAAGTTATATCAGACTGTACCGGTTTGGTTTTCACCATACATACGCTACATCCATTTGGCATTTTAGGAACAAAACGGATGAAACTCACTGTTGTGATTGTTGCCTTGAATGTAGCTGAAGAGCTTGCGGAAGCCAGTGTTCATGGCTTCATCCCACTGCATCCCACTCAGAGTGGTGCTCACCCAGTTAGTGGCATGGTAAGTGCGAATCTCATAGTCTTGGTCCTGCTAAAACATGCACACATGCACACGCTCAGTATAAATTAATCCGTTGATTATTTTATCAATTAACCGTTTACATAATTTTCTGTGAAGTGATCAGGAATTTTGTCTATATTGCCAACGTGGTCGTCTTTACTTACATTACTGAATTTGCGCGGCCCTTACAAAAATCATGACCACAGTATTTAGGAAAGTCATATATTGTAATAGTTCTTACAGCAAATGGTGACATCAGTGTACATGGGTCACATATCTCATAATATTAAGATATGGTCACAAACATTGTGAGGAGCGATACAATACTCCTTTTGGTTATCCCACTACCAGTATAACAATCTAACAGGACACTGATTACGGTGAGTTCTACAAATGCCTTTTATGTTCGACACTCAGTCCAAACGACACTAAATTTAAAGTGAAGCACAATAAAGTAGAGCTGTAAAGTCTCAAAGTGAGGAAGCTGGAACCACCAAATGCTTTTAATGACAAAAAAAACCTTGAAGAATGCTTCAGATCAAAGTGACTTTTAACAAGTCAAAGCCCCATAATATGCCATTATGATGATGTAAAAGAGATGTAAAAGAAATTCACACATTCGAGGGGGTGGAATTGTTAAAAGTCAGAGTTATACTGTAAAAAAAATGAAATAAACTCACTTCTGTTAGTCAAATGGCACTGTGACAAACAGAACAACCAACATCAGGCCAAAGGTTTACTGTCCTTTTTATACGAGCCAATCTGGAAGACATCTACCTTTTTGTCCCCTTCTGTGTATTTGGGGCTCTGCAGTCCAGATGAGAACAGAGCTCGTCCCAAGGTTTTCATCATGACTGGGGTGAAGTATGATCCAAAATGTCTGTTTAAGAAAAATATCAACAAAATTGAGGACGTTTTCCAACCAATACTCAGTATGAATCGCAAGGCATTATAACACCAAATGAAGGTTATATATATATAACCTGCTAGTCATGAGACTAGTTATGTATTCCAATGCATCTTTGTTTATAAAACAGCAGAAATACAGGTAATAATTCAGAATCGGCTCTGTCATTCTTCAACACTTTGGTTGAAACAATGCAATCGCCTTTTAAAGTGTAAGACCACCGAATACAGACAGAAGGAAACACATAGTTAAAGTTACCTGTCAAGGTACGCTTGTGTAAGCCTGTCGTTAAGGTGTGGAGCACGAGTGTGCGTTTGTTTTCATACGATCGCTTCGTGTTACATAAACCGGAAATACGATGGGCTGAGCGAGTACAACTTCACAATAAGAGCTCAGATCTTTAACGTCAACGGTCACTGAGGGAGAAAAGTTCAATTTGGCCACAATTTCAAATTAGTTTGGGTGTGTTCGAGTTCCCCAGGAGTCGCTACAAAATGGTGCAGGAAGTCAGCGATTGGAACAGAAGTTAAACCAAAACCAGAAAACAACTTGTTTTATTGTTGTATCCCGAGTAGTGACAAAGGACAACATGTTCTAAAGCGCTGTCCGCTGCCGCCTGACTGTATTTCAGTATGTTAGTGCTCTGCCTGGCTGGACTCTGCTCATCGTGACCTACATGCGTTGGTGTACCACATCACAAGTTAACAGTGTGTAGTGTATTACACTGAATATTTGACTCATTGAAAGTACCGAAAGCATTTGCAATTTGGACAGAACTATAGATATTTTTGACAAACTATACTATGACTTTTTAAGTCATTCTAAACTTACATACTATATTATGCCTTTTTAATGACTTGTTTGTCTGATATCCTTGTTCATATTGGGAAACTACTTGAACATTACTTTGGGAATTTGAACCACTGAAAAACACTATAAAATAGGTCCTATATTATTATGTAATCTTGTGGCCCACATGGTGTATTTTAGTAAATAAAGTATTAATGTAATTACTAGTACCTGACATACAGAAATCCGGGGGTAGTATTCCAGTGTATGAGAACAGTTTCATCACTCAGATTAAAGTCCAAATCAAATTTGACCAGGCAGTTGAAAGGTATTTCTGGGAAGAACATCTCCCATTTATTTACTACATTATAATTATTTACATCATAAGGATTGATAGCCAACTTTACAAGAAAAAAATAAGTACTTTGCAGTATGTAAGAAAAACACAGTCCAGATGATATGAGGCACAATCACATAGAGGAGTAAAAACAACCTAAAACCTAGCAGGACACCTTCAGAACACACACACACCCACGTGTGATAGATAATGAGTGGAGAAACAAATGCTACACCAGTAACTGATATGAATGTTGAAGCGATGCTGGGGGAAAGTCAGAACATGAATAACGTGTTTGTTGTATTTAGGCTTCAGCTACAGTTTCACAGGAGCACCGGCAAGTTGTGAGACACGGAGCAAATGCATCCTGGTCTCTGTGGAGATGAGCAGCGGTAGAGCAAAGCAAGCGAGGCTGTGTTGACAGATATGGATGCATAGTTTTAAGATTTGTCACTCTATCTAGCATTGTCCAAATCGCAGATGCATCTCTGTCGTCATTGCTAACTTGATGTAGACGCACGCGCACATGCGTGGAACTGTACAGGGGACATGCACTCAAATGAAGAGACGATGGCAGCAGCTTTTTGTCGCCGTATTGTTCTGAGGCGAGTCCTATTCATTACAATCCTTAGAGCCACGGTGGGCAGTGGAAAAAAAGCAGAAAGACAAAGTGGTTTATCAAAATGTCCGTCGCTTACACAGAGTCCAAATGCCACCACTGGAAAGAGCAGCAAACACTTTATCCCGTGAGCTCTACAAGTCCAGTTACAACCTGGCAATAATTTCTTTAAGCGACATAATATAGAGGAACAAGAAGGCAGTGGTTATGAAACAGATTACTAATTGATATTTAAGTGGACAAAAAAAAACAGGGATTAATAAAAGCTGCACTTTTATGACAGTCCTGATCTATGTATTGGTAGCTTTATTTATTAGGCAGTATTTTATGAATCCCTCTTTCACTAAATATCAATTAATGCACTGTATGATAACCTTTTCTGAGTCTCTAAATCCTCCATGATTTAGTGCACGAGGTTGTAGCTGATGGAAGCGCTGGGGCTCTGGGAGCATTTCAGTGCTGGTAGTTCTGGTGGACGAAGGACAAAACATCGTCTTTGGACAGTTTCTCCGTGTCCATCCGTGTCTGAGAATCATGAACGATCACCCCCTCCACCCAGGCCCAGAAGAGCCGCTCGGAGTGGCAAACACTGAGGACGAAGACAAAGAACGGATACATTTCAGTCATAATATCATCAAAGCTGCTATTACATACATACTCGTATAACATTTTAGATTCAATCGATTTAATCAGAAATGAATCAATTCAATATGTGCAGAGAAAACGCTACATACTTGAAGGGGGCGGCAGCGTTGGGTGGCATTTCATAGGTGGAGTCCTTGGTGGTCTTATTATAGAAGAACTTCATCTTAGAGTTTTTACTGTAGGCCATCGTCCACGGCTCTGAGGGATAGAGAGGGAGGAGACGGAGACATTTCTAATTGAAACGTGAGTCATTTACGTGCTTTGACATGGTTAAAACAAATTCCAAGTTGAAAGAAAATGTAAGTGCCGCTGATTGACGAACAAATACGCACCGTTGACGGTCTTAATGATGTAGAGGCCGGTGGGGAGGAAGTGTCGGTCATCTCTGCCGGTGTAGGACAGACGTGGGACTCCTCCGGAACTCTTCGTCACCTTCATCTCTAACCTGGAAGAGTAACAGAAGAACAAACAGTAGAAAATCAAACATTAAGTAAATGATTGTTTAAAACGTGGCCTGTTATTTTATAGATGATGTCACCTATTGCTTGTCTTTTCATACCTGACAAAGATTTTCTCCATTTCTTCCAACCTGTAAACCTCCTTCACTCTGTTTGGGAAAAGACAGATGTTACATTGAAGATCTCCTCCAGACATTACAAAGCAGCATTCAAAGTGGTTGAATTCATTCAAATGAATACCTGATCGGGTTCATGTCTGGTCTGCTGGGTTTGGCTACCGCCTTCACAAACTTCTCAGCCATCTGGATCCTGGACATTCAACGGGCATTATTTACTAAAACCGGTATTAAAAGTACATTGTACTGCAACACATGTCAATATATTTATAAATATCTACGTATTTATGCTTTACAGTGAGATGATTTTGCAGTAAATTAATAAAAGCTGAGGAATCAGTGATTACGGTGACGTTGTCCTACCGCTGGTTGAAGTGCTGCTCTCTTACATCAGTGCCATTCAGTATTAGTGCATCCATTACGTGAACCGCGTTGATTCTGCGCTGAGCTTTGCCCTGAGGACCAAATAAACTGTATTTATTCATGTAAAAGCATAACCACGAGCAGCAAACAAAACTAGCTGATTCAGGTGTATTTCTAACGGGAGAGACTGATTTAAAAAAAAAAAAAAAAAGCACGACGCACAACAAAAGTACACGTCGTCTCATGAGAACAATTATCATTTCAGAATGAAAAGAAATGGAGCCAAGCTTGAAGTTATTGGCTCACTCATTTCATCCATTTCCCTCCTCTCACCTCGCCTTTCAGCTCTTGGACAATCTCCACACTTAGAAGTGTATCTCTTGGCAGCTCCAGCTTGAAATTCTCCAGTTTCCTCCAGCGCAAAGGCATCTTCCCATCCCATAGGTATATCTGAGACTTCTGCCAAGCCAAGGAGGAAGGGAGAGAACCAATGGAAGACATGAAAACAGCTTCAATCACAGGCTACCGTCTAAATAAATAATAAATAAAAAACATTAGGGGTGAATAGACTGAGGAAAGCGATAGAACATAGCTGGATTTTGGGCGTCTCATTACTGTGTGTGATAATGCATACAGGATAGGAGCGTCTATTTAATTCCAAATATGGAAAATCTTGAAAAAAATGAGGATTGTGCAAGTTGTGTGCAAAGTTCAAGACCTTCATTTGGTGTGTTGTGCCTCTTACAGACTCACCCCCAGCGCTAGAAGGAAGGTCTGCTCTCCACCTCCCACAATGCATCTGTGGTCCATGATGTGACGCAACTTCTCGAGTGTAGTGGAGTTGAGAGTGGTGAGCTTGTACTGGAACGAGTCCACATCTGAGTTCTGAAGTGGTAAAGCAGAAAGACAGATATGGAGACACAGTTAACTCTTCAAGTGTTTCCCATTACTGGAATTTAAGAAGACAGAAATACACAATACATGTTTTAAAAATCACTCAAATGTACTGTTAAGGATTTTGTTTTTTTATTTTATTTTCATTTATTAACAAATGGAATTCTTTGACAGCACAGATTTGTTAGAATTGTATTATTCCCAGCAGGGTTTCTTAAACCTCAGATTTATTAACTAACCTTAATCAGTTCGTAGAATTTGGACTTTGGGTCTGAGGAAGCAGGAGTGACTCTGGCCTTGTCTGGGACCTGGGAATAAACATACAGTATAACAGAGAATAAAACTGCTTCATCTAGTAAACTCTATTCAGTACATGTATCACAGTTTCTCCACTCACCCCCCACAGTTTCAGACACTCCTTTCTAATGTCTGCTTGCTTCGGCTCTGAAAGGGTTCTAGGAGAAACAACCGTCACTCAGTCAGTTGCATACATAAACACCATCACTCGCGGCTCTACGCAAGTGATGCGCAATAGCGATCTATGCACATGAACAATTGAAGAAAGAGGTTACTCACGGCTCTATGACAAAGGCGTGGATCTTAGCCAAGGCCTTGATCTGGACTACACAGAGGCTGCGGCAGTGAGAGGTAATTACATTTCTTTTAGTCACTCAGTTTGCAATATTATGACTATTACTGAATGAATATTGTGTGTCTTTACCTTTCATTGGAGTTGACTATGTACTGGTAGAAGTCGGTGTCTTCCTTGATGATGCTCAGAGGCACCACCTCCATAACGTCGCTGTCCGTGTTCTTCAGCTGGTTCAGTTTCAGGTTGATTCTGAACATGTAGTCCTTGACGGCTTCTGAACCGGGCTTCAGACTACGACACACTACGTACCTGCGGGTGTGAGCGGGAAGAGTTTAACGGATGCAAGCATTTACTCTGTTCTTACGTCTAAATCCAAAATTGGATGACTTACACTAATTGAAACGCTACACAGTCAACTTTCCTGCCTAAACCTAAAAGTGAAGAAACCAAATCTGAGAGCAAATATAAAAGTTTCTGCTACTTAAACTGATCTATTACCCGTTTCAGGCTTTGATTCGTCTTTAATTGGATAACTTCTTTACAACAACAAAAAACGGGCCCAGATGAGATGATTTATGTCAGAGAACATGCAGATTACGCACGTTAAAAGGGTTTTTACTATCGTGTGTATATATACATACACTTAAAATACAATAGCCCGACATAAGTAACCGAATCCACACCGATCTTCTTGCACATACTGCAGGCATTCACACACAGACTCAGCCCCACCTCTCAGAGTTGGCCGGCCTGCTGGTGACGGGCTTGAAGAGACAGATCCTGTCGAAGCAGAGGTAGAGCAGGTAGACCAAACCCACGCTGAACGGAGTGAAGAGGTCAAAGGTCTTACAGACAAAGTTACCACCTTGAGGAGACAAACAGGCACGATCAACTACCAAAAGGGGAAATGTGCCACCTCTAACGTGGAAGTCCAATCAGTGTTAATGGTAATTGTAGTCGATTAAAGCAATAAATTCCTCTTTGTATGAAATATTGACAGTTATTCCTGCATCCAGCACTGTCATTTGACAAGACAGTGACGTAGTTGGAGGCCAGGAAGAACTACAGGATATTTCAGCTTGGATTTCTAATCTACACCTTTAGAAGTTGTTAAATTAAAAATGTCTCCACCTCTGGGTGGCCAGCAGGCGTGCTCCAGATGCCGCCAACAAATAGAACTTCCCTGTTCTCTTCGCTTGCATTGCAAACTAGCTACGTTTCCAACCGCAAAAATGGCATCCATTGGTGTGAGTGCAGAGGATGTTTTGGACGAGGATACATTTCACCGTGTTTTGGATATTATCCGTATTTATTTAATCCCGATTATACGTCCAAAGAAATGCAGCGGGGAGAGGCCGAGGCCGCGACTGCATTAGCTGTGCAAGAGGATATGGCAGGCAGGGAGCCTCCAGGCGTCAGAAGATTGCGTGCAATGCATCCTGGTACATGTAGGCACTGCCGGCACGGCTTTGCAAGGAGGAGAACTCAGCTTTCTTGGTCAGTATAGCATGCACAGAGGAATGAATTACTTCAATTCACCAATTTAACCAACAACAATGTTTGGACATCCACATAACAGCTGGACGTGTGCACACAAAAAAATGAAATGAGTACCATAACATGAATATGATGAAGATATATCACAGTTTTTTAGGAAATTTAGAAACACCAGATGTCCAGTTTAAAATATGAGCCGTGGATGATCAGGTGACTGTGCATGTGCATGAATGGATGATTCATGCACATGCACACATTTACCTGTTCTGAGTGAAGAAAGGGCAGTGAGCATCTGACAGAGCAGCAGCTGTTTGGTCAGGATCTCCTGCAGGTTTTCCTGGCCTTCCACAGAAATGCCCTAACAAAGAAAGTCATCAAACCAAAAGGGATCAAATTACTTTAAAAAAAAAAAAAACTTTAGATGCGTTGATGCAGAGCAGTGGCTACAAATATATTCCACAGTTACAAACATGTGAAATAATCTCACCCCATCTGCCATGAGGACGTGCAGCCCTCTTCCTTCTGTACTCTCCAGGACAAAGTTTCGGAAGGCCGTAATGTTTTCTGGCCGAGTGATGTCTCCATCGCCGTCCACCCCTCCCTCACCTGGGGACGCACAAAAGGGTCAGGCTTTCACTGAATCATTCATCCACCGAGACGTGACCAGTTTCTCTTCTCCTGCACTGGACGTACCGTAGTAAGGCTGAAACACCTCACTCGGCGCCGCAAAGAAATCTTCCAGTTTGAAGTCAGAGGGTCCTTTCAGCGTCATGCCGAACCCCTTGGCGTGCCAACGCCTCCTCCACAGTATGTACTCCGAGAAGCCTCCGGGCCCCGCGCACACGTCTCCGAAGTACAGCAGTTCCCCCTCGCGGTCCTTCGTCAGAGGTTTCTACGTAATGAAAGAGGTTTGTCTCACCATCTGTTTATAATGAGCCTGTGTGAACGTTCAGCGCGACACATATCAGCTGCTAACTTTAAACCAACTCACCCCTTGTGAGTCCTTTGGGTTGGTGAAAATTTGGTCGAAGCAATGGTCGATGTTGGACATTTTCATTGCTGCTCTGAATACAGAAAGAACATAACACAGCGTGTCATGGTGTTTAAAGGGTTGACACGTGACATGGCGCTCTACAACACTGTCGTTAACCATCTAAAGACTGACCTGTTGAGGAAAATACCTCCTCTGATCGTCTCGTAAGGGTTGGAGCGTGTCCGTGCTCTCCTCATCTCCTCGCCCTCCAGGTTATCAAATACTGTCTGAACATCAAACAGACACAGCGGTTCACGCAAAGCACAGACCATCGACATCCTCACTCAGCACAATGCAGTGATAGACATGTAGAACAAAGGGGATGCCAGTCATTTTAAAAAAAGCACACAAAGATGTCATGAACGCATCTTTGAGTGTATTATGCAGATTCATGTGCAGAGAGCATATTGACCATCTTTCTGTGCCTTGAGGAGTTATTATCTGTGCATCATTTAATCAATCGAAGCATTTAACCCAACACATGTACCGTTCACACTAAATGAAGTAGCTGTATGTGTAAAATACAAAAAGGGAGTAAAATGACAATGATATAACTCACCTTGCACCGTAGTAGAGTGTGTAGAAGGTCTTCAGTGCAAAACTCTGTCTCATCCTCAATCTTAAGTTTTCTCTGTAAGCAGTCAAAATAAGACTTCAAAAACAAAATGTGTACGTTTGAGGCAAACCAGTGTGCCGGGGTGAACATCGTGTATGGGAACTTTTCTACGTGAGTGTCTTGAGTGTTTGTATTCACCCCTCCTAGTTTCATCCAGTCCCTCAGCTCAACTGCATCTGGCGTCTCTGTGGTGCATTCTGGGAACCAGTCTACCTTCTGCAAGGCACTGGGCTGGACAGACCAACAGAAAAAAGAAGCAAACAAAGGAGGGGGGGGGACAATAGAGATGAGAAACAGATAGCGTAGACAAAAATTGGTCTGAGTGTTCTCTCTACTCATTCTCAAACTCTCCCTGACTTAAAGTTTGCATTATTGAAGATTAGGTTTCTTGCTTCTAAGAGCTTTCATAAAAGAGATTTTATCTCCCAATCTAGTCGACATTTTTTATTTTTAACTGAATGCTGGCTCTCAGCCTCTGACTCAGCAACACTTATTGTTGACTATAGCTTGTTGTGTACTGCTAGGAATGTACCCGAGAACGTAGGGTGACCAGCAACCATCTTTTCTGGCTTGTTCATCTGCACCGAATGCATTTTTGGAGACTTCTCAAGCTTTGAATATCTAGCCATTGTTAATAGGACTCAACAACACATTCTTACACGAACCAAAAATTTACTCCGAAAGCACAATTCTAACTTTTTATCTGAATAATCATTTGCTCTTGTAAAATATGATGAGAGTCTCTGGGTGATTTTAACTTGTATAAATGACTCGTCAGACTCTAGAGCAGTGGAATGTATGGACCGTGTTACTAGTCTAGACTTTATACAAGATGTGAAATACAGTGGACCGTCTTATAACAAAGGGTATTCATTTGACAGTTCCCAGTTTCTGATCACTCCTGGGTCGTTTTTAATGTTTTTAGGAAGTACAAATGTGCACTTCCTGCTGCTAGGACAGCATATTTCTCTCACCTGATTATCATTAACAAAAATAATCAACGGTTATTGTGTGAGGAACTCTTTAAATAGAGACTGAAAACCTTTATTCACTTTACTACAGCCTGTCCTAAAACGTAGTCGCGTCGATCACCCTTTTAACATCTTTTATGTGGTTGTTTTTATACAGTATATTACTTATTTGCTTTTTTGTGTGCTGTCCCTTGTATTCATCACACCCCTAGCCATTCTTTTTATTGGAAAGTGCATTTGTACCATGCTGAATGGTGATTCTGCACTTTTAATAAAACCGATAAGATTGATTTTTTATAGTTTAATTATAAATATTTCACATCATTTACAGAAAACATCACATGCTTATTATTTGCTTCTGTGTACCTCTGGTTCATCGCGCCAGTCCACATTGAGCTCCCCCTGAAAGCCCTGCATTGTGAGACCGAGACCCCTTCTCCCTCGCTGGTTAGACGCCGCCACAATCTCTTTGCGTCCCTGGCCAAACTTCCCGAGACCTTCACCCTCACGGAAGCCCATCTTGGCCTAAATGTACAAAATGTAGGAGAGATAAAGGGAGTTAAGAAAAGACAATGGAAAACTCAGTTTCTTCTGAATACTAAATAAACTAAAAATGACCTAATCTAAGAAGCTTATATGTACAAAGCAATATACACTCCGAGTTAAATATCTAGTGTTATTTAGGGTTTCAATATATTACCATGAGTTTCTGTGACACACTGTTGTACATAGAGAAATCGGAGGAGGCCTGTGTGGGGTCAGGGTCTTGGGGGTCAGGGTCTTGGAGGTCAGGGTCTTGGGGGTCAGGGTCTTGGTCATCAAAGGATGATATGGAGGGCATGGAAAATCCTGGTCTCTGATCCTCCTGGTCACTGAGGGAATCATTTTGGCTGGAGTCTAGAAAGGAAAAGAATAGACAGACACACAGGTACAAGCCATTCAAATAGACAGCAGCAGGCAGAGACACCAACGTAAACAAACAAAATATTTTGCTGAACTGCATTCTAAAATGAGACACAACCACAGCCTCATGGTCTCGCTCTGGGATTTGAACATACTAAGGACTAAATAGTTTTTTGAGGTGGCAAATCATAGCTCTGCTGACAGAACTCGGGTTAATATATCTACCTTGTCTGGATAATTGCGACTCTTCATCTGAGCTGCTGTCATGACAAGGCCTCTTCGTCCCCTGCAGTACTGTCGACGCTTCTTCAGCTCTTCTCTTCATCGTGGCTAAAACAGAGCAGAATAGACAATAAGAATCAGATACTCTGTATGATGGATGAGGTGCACATATATATATATATATATATATATATTTAAACATGAAATGGAACAGAGCAGCAGAAGCTCACTCCATGTACACGTCAAGAAAACAACAAAGGCGGACTAAAACACAACAACAAGTGTGACAATAACACATGTAAATTAAATTTAAAATAAAAAAAAAACACAACAGCAAGTGTGACAATAACACATGTATGCAGCAAAAAGCATTGTGACAGACAGTGCCGAAGCTTAAACAATTAACTGATTAATGGATACCGCATGCATTTGACATTTACTGAACAAACAAATAACATGTTTTAAGTATGAAAACAAATGTTTAGAGCTGTAATGTCTGCCTGGTGCACGGCTAGCGATGCATATGCACTGAGTTGCATACTTTCTTACGTATGAATGCCCATTATACAGTATTTAAGTATGTATTAAGAAATACAGGAAACACTGATCATCAGTCATGTCAACAGTGACCACCACAACAGTGGATCATGCCACCAACTGTCTGCTCTGAACTCATGTTTGGTTTAAATCGAGTAGAACTTGCTTTGTTCTTTGCTGCTGGGTTTGAAAAAAGGAATTTGAGGAAATCATGAGGAATCACAAGGCACGCACAATCCAAACCATGTATGTTAAGGTCTTTGGTGAAATCAGATGTAACGTAGGTAAAAGCAGCACTTCCATCGAACATGTATTTTATCAACAAGTCTCGCTTGGTTATCTTGGGACGTCTAGCTCGTTAGCGCCTTCCGTGTACTAACATTACATTCCCAAAAAGGCGTCAACTGTGGCTAGTCCACGTTACATACAACACAAGCGATGCCTTGATCCTCCACGTTGCCAGAACTTGACAATTATAATGTTACTATCTGAGAATAAATGTCCTGCAAATACGAAGTTACCTCTGTGGTTATGTTGTAGTTAGCAGCAGTCAGCTATCAAAGTTTGTTAAAGTCGGCCCATGCCTCTCTCCAAGATGTACTATTGCAGGAAAACAACACAGCTAAAGTAAACAGACTTGTCTGGTTGGTGTCAGTGTGGGTGTTCTCGGTGTTTTCTGTGAAACGAAACTGCGCAGCTGTAGCAGCTTTAGCTGTTAGCTAGCTAAATTAGCCAGCTAGTTTCTAGCAGCTCAAACGAAAAACTCACTTCTGTGGCCACACAGCAGCGACAAAACGTTAGTTCCGCATGTATGTCGAGCTTTCCCCGTTGGATTTGTATTTGCATGGAAACATTTGTTATAAATACACGGTCTTTTGAAGTTTAAACATTAGCCCGCGTTCTGCTTTTACAGATTTCAGGGGTCCTTCCTTTTTTGATGACACGCAGTGATGACGCGCATGATGTACCATCTGTCTAAACAAGTGCCTGTGTGTTTTTGTTGTTATTACTTTATTTGTTTTATTTATTAAATTCATTAAATACAATTTGTGACCGCCGCTTTTATTACTTTTTGTATAGAATTGTATTTAATGTAACATACAATGATAATTTCTTTATATTGTTGATTAAATGCTGAAATAAAGAGGAAATGTATATGAAAGAGAACTAACTTCATGGTTGATCTTAGTGATATGACACTGTTGCACACAAGTGACTACAAAAATGATGTTGACTACTTACACAATAACAACGCAGGGCCTCCACTGTTTGTCACAGTTTGGGACCCCAGGGGCTTCTCTAGTTGAGTAGTATTTAATCCGATTTATTTTGCTGTTGGTTAAAAATAAGAGAAAGGGATTTCATTCAAAAATCTTTTTTTCCTGTGTAAACATTTTTATGCAGTCCCCAAAAAGTTGTAAAAGATAACCCCGCCTACTGAAAGTTTAGAGTGAATCTGCCTGTCATCACAGTTAAACTGACCTGGATAAGTAAGCTACCAAGTACCAAGTGAAAATGGCAACCTCACTTTTTTGTGGATGCAGACAGTTTTGATTTTATTGTGCCTCAAAAAATACCATTAGCTTGGACTAATTTTCGTAAAACATGATTTGCATTGTTTTGTGTGTGTGTGATTAAGTGATTAGATATTCCTTTAATCAGTCTCACGTGTCTGTTACATTGGGCTAATCCGTTCTTGGCATGATAGCTAATGGATCCTGAGCTCCCCTTAAAAGCAATTGTTTGGCTATTTCCAGGAGTACTCTCTGTGAGAAAGAAAGGCACTGCCACAGATGTCAGCATAACCTGTATGGCTCCAGACTGTCTGCACAGTGACTGAAAATCATTTTTTGCCCACAGGCTAAATTAATCATATTTTCAGTGTATTTACAAAATGTGAGCGCTGAGCCAGGTACAGTAGATCCTATGGGATTATTCAATTTCAAGCTCTTCCTTTCGTGATGTAGCTTGAAGCAACCTGTCAGTGCATGCCTTCATTGATGAGTCTGTGAAATCCTTCTTAGAAGAAACAGCGTCACTACCCTGCATTCGTGACAGAGACAACTAGAGGAAGCACTGAAGCTCTGCTTCCTGATGCTAATTTCATCTATAATCTATTTTAAAAGGCGGGGGGCGGACTTCTTCAGGACCCTGGGGGTGGGTTAATTTACACATATTAACCATTCCTTTTTAATTGTAGCACAAATTGTGTCGATAAAGCTCACATCTATTCATTCTGCTTCACCTCTTAGGAAAGGGATTACTTTGCTTCATTGTTTTGAGATTATTCAACATTGTGCTGTAAAGATTTTGAACTTTAGAATATACCTTTTGGTAAATTGTTTATTAATTGAAATGCTTGTTCAATTAAAATGAGTTCTGACAGAATGCATGTTTGGTGTTTGTTTTGCCTTTTGACACACTTGCGTTTGTTTCAATGCGATTTTGCCTTTTAATTGTCTTCTTAAACTGCCTCTCAGTGACCTCGGCAGACGTCATTACAGCGTTGTTTGTCACCTGTTGATGGGGTTGTGTGCTTCTTCCCTACATAATTGGTGGCCAGTGGATTTAGACCATCACAGGTATATTAATCCACCACAACTCCAGTTGCTCTGCTAATCCTCCGCTGACACAAATGCAAATTCACTCAAAGTCACACACAAACACAATCCAACACCATGTGACCTGCTTACGCAATGAAACCAAGGCTTTATATGCCACCTGTAGGGACTGGTCTCCCTTGTGGAAGATTATCACAGTGCAGGTGTGTGTATCTGAGAAAGGGAGCGAGGAGTGTGTTTCCACACACAGGGGAGATCTGTTGCCACACTCAGCCTGGTGGAGAAGACCGAGGAGAGAGACACAGAGGGCTTCACAGTGATAAAGTTGCTTAGCAGACAGTCCTGAGGGCTGGTTGCAGACGGGTCTCTTGTGGTCTCTGCTGTGAAGCGCTGGAAAGAACAACAACAATGTTTTTCCGCATCCCTCGACTGACCCCTGGATATATAAGATACCTCCAGGTGCGTAACATGCTTTTAGGGCAGTTTTTTGCTTTAGATAGATTAATGATTAGTCTTGGACATCTGCAGTAGTGTAAGAGTGGAGCAAATTTCATTAGAGCCTTTAACAACAAACAACTGTTTCCATCTAGAGCCTGCACATTTCCCCTTCTACACTGCTTCAGTAAAACGTTGGTGTTGCATTGATTGTAAAGAAAACAAACTCAAGATTTCTCTTAAAGCTGCCTTTACTCATTAAGATTAACTGTTAAACCATTTTATTCATACCTGAAGAAAAGGTCAACGTAAATAGAAAAGAGATTTGTATTGAATTGTCCCTTCGCATGCTCTGAGAACTCCTTTTGAACTGATGTGACTGACTCATCATTGTACGCAAAGTACCCATTTGTGTGTGTGCCATGACAGGATTTAGAATAGAGGATTGCAGCAGCCTGTCTTTAAATGGATTTAAATCAGAGATGCCTTAGCTCCTCGGGTTCAGCTAAATGCCCTCTAATTGGAGCTCCAGATGAATAGCATGAGATCCATGTTCCCTATCGAGCTGGTGGGTATTTCAGAGACCTGCAACTGGATTTAGGAACCTGCAGTGTGGCTTGTGCTTGTTTTAAAAATGGACTGTGTCAAACCTCATTATCTGTGTCTCAGCTCATCAGAGTTCATGTGAGATTATTCTCACTCACGATGAAATAGGTCAGGATTACACAAATTACTATTATGCCACTTGAACCTGTTGTGTACTTTTATAACTGAGACGCTACAACTCTGTCGCTGTCCTGTGAAGATCGTGTATCTAAAAAATGTCTGAACTATTAACTATGACAAACATCCATATTTTCAGCTTTCTAACAATGCATTTCAGATAATTCTGTAATCTGTTATTTAACTCCTTAAAATGTATCTGAAAAATATTAAAAAGCACTAAATTTGGAGACCCACTGCTTCCACTGGACAGCGACTAACATAACGGTGATGAGCTAAGAAAATAACTGAATCTATATCTGACTTTAGGAAATGTCTTGGATTGGCTCCAAACCTGGACAGGACTGACACTGACATGAGATTGATTATGTATTGAAACTTAATCAAATGGAGACTCTAGGGCGGCTTTTCCCTTATGGTAAGACTATCGCTGGGATGAGGCAGGTGTGCGACCAGGGTCACCTCTTTAAGGACTCTACCGCTGCCAAATCCAGGAAGAACGCTGCTGGCACATTGCCTTGGTCGTCATCATCCCAGGCATTGATCGTGCGCCAGGCATGTCGTGGCTACATGGGTGGTGACCCCTGCTCTCTCTTTCAGACTCAGGCAGCTCAGACTGTGCTGCAGAGCCGTGAGGGCCCTCTGATGCCGCGCATGGCCATGCTGCTGGGTTTCATGGGGATCGGCATGTCCGGCTACAGCTCCCGCCAACTCACACTGAACTACAAGCCATCGAGCCACCTCTTTAGATAAGCCGGATGGCGGACGGGGGCATATACACACACACACACACACACACACACACACACACACACACACACACACACACACACACACACACACACACACACACACACACATCTTTTGCTTAAAGTTTGACATTTTGGGAAACATGCTTATTCAGACTTTTTCTTGGCTCTGCGACAACCAGCGGAGACTCTGGGAAGTTAGCGGTTGTGATAAAGAAATTGTCGCCACTTAACTAAAACAGAGAATTGTTGTTTTTACACATTCATTTTTGTCCAGAGTTATCAAAAAGAAAATAGCATGTTAATTATTGAACTAAGAGGTGCGGGTAGATGGATTTTATTACCATTTGACAGAGCCAATCTAGCCCCTTTTGTGTTTCAAGTCTTTATGCTAAGCTAATCAGCTGCTGGAGCTTTATTTATCAGTCTCATCAAGAAAGCAAATGAGCATATATCCCAAAATGTCAAACTATTAACTAAACATAAGACCAATAATATTGAAGGAAGTGATGCTACCCAGTTTTTATATTTCTGTTTTTAGCTGTTTTTCTGTGCATTATTGCTAATAATCCCCTCAGCGTGGTTCAAATTCAGTGTCATCCTGGTTCTGGATTTCATTATGATTTTGTTGTGCTTGAGATGAATAGATTGTTGCCTTAAGGCTTCGTTTGTGCAGTAAAAAATAAAAACAAATCCTCCTTATTTAAAACTGCCCTTTTAAGCTATAAGTGCAGTTATTTTCTTGTGATGCAGTGGAACAGAAAGGCAGCTTTTGATGTTTCTCATGAGCTTGGTTGACGATATACTTGATCCACGATCCCTCCCCAAGTCCCGTGCCTTATCATGGGAGTATTCAGTCCAAATTCACCTTTTAAATTATATCTTTAAAACTCATCAACAGTTTTGAAATCAAAGTTCTCATACTTTTAATCACCATTGCTTTTTTCCTGTGGCACTTTGACAATTTCCATGATGTTCCACAGAGCCCCCGGGTCCGTCCTCTTTCAGAGAGCAGCCCCTGTTGTGATGTCTTGTGATGTTTGCTTCGCTCGGATTTCTAGGGAGACATCACATCAGAAGCAGCTTCAACTCAGAGAATCAAAGCATTTGTATTTCAGGCGGATTTCCCTCCTGATTCTGGAATTGACAGTATGAGTTTTTCTAATATCTCTCTCCTGTCTGTGAGCGTGACAAAATATCAGAGGAAAAAGTAAGGAATTGCTCTCAATCTGTTTGGCTATGCTCAACTCCTGAAAATGCACAGAGAAAATACTCAACAAAC